TCTTGCAAAAATGCCCCTAGACTATGAGCAAAACAACCCGCAGTCCACGTTACTATTTCTACAGACAATGACTTTGCAATGAAACCCTCGGATCTTTCTCCTCTTTACAATGGCAAGGCCCTCGGCCACCCCTGTGCGCGTTGGCGCGGCGGGCACGACAATGGACGGTCACGCTAGCCAACTAAGGCACACAGCGGCCCCGCTAGTGGGCCGACCTGCATCTACGGTCCTAGCGCCTACACTAGATGAAGTTACGGGAGCAGCGGAGCTTGCGGGAGTGGTGGCCACGGCGAGCAGCCATGTGCAACGGTGTCACGGCCATACCGGCCCGTAGCTATTGGCTAGCACGTGAGCAACCCCAACTTACCCCAGTCACGGCTATGGTGATGGTTGAGGGAACGGTCAGCGGATATGGGTTGGCCGCGCATGACCAGAGGGGTGCGGCAGCGCTCTCAGATGACGCAGCCATGTCAGCAGCTACGGCGAGGTGGTAGAGGTGCAAGCAAGGCGCGTAGGGTGAAGTGGAGGTGGAGGCAAAGCTCGTGAGGCAAGTGGATTGGCGTGGAGTGGTGCGGTGGGTGACTGCTCTCGTCCATGGCCGAGTCCGTCCTTAATGGCCCTGCGGAGGGAAAACTCCAAAATTGGAGCTCGACGTGACACGAGTTAAGGCGGCTAGATGACTCACAGGAGGAGCCAGAGAGGCAGTGAATCGATAAGAAGTGACCTATATCTGCCGAATTTAAGAAAGCGGCTTCGCCAGCCATGGCGGCAGGGAAGAAAAAGCCAATGAGGGGGAAGAGGTAGGTCCGGCTTGGTCCGCCCTCGCCTTGGCGGGGTGTGGTCGACCCTACTAGAGCGACACATGCATAGGAGCCAAAGCCAAAACGTGTGAGCATAGGTGGTGGGGTAGCATGGCATGCGCGGTCGCAACACCGTTAATGGCAAGGCGACGGCACGAGACAGCAAGGGGCAAACCCACGTGCTCGAAGACGTGACGGGCAGCAGCATCACAACACGAGACAATGAGGGCAGCAGTAGCAGCACAGCGAGGTGACATGATGACAGCGGTAGTGGCTGCGTTGCGACGCAGTATGGAGGGCAGCAGCAGCGCTGCTGTAGCGGCATCAAGAGAAGCAACGTGAGTCAGGGCAATGGGCACAAGATGGGGTTAGTGGTCCGCTGCGACCGGCCTCAGCCAAGCCAAGGCGGCTTGACCAACCCAACACGACAGCACGGCGTGCTAGATGCAAGGCTACAGTGGCGGACACTATGGTAGCACAGCATGGGATGGGTTAGGCGGCAGCAGCAGCAGCTCCGCGCGGCGGGCCAGCGACAGCCGAGCCCTAGCCAGGCCAGAGGCGGACATGGCTGGTCGCGCAGCGGTAGCACACACACGTGTGACCATGGGCGCGGTGTGGGATGGCCACGCGGTGACCGCGCCCACGACGCCAGACTGTTCGAGACAGTGACACATACGAAGTTTAAAGCGTTCAACACGACCAAATGGTTGCTTTAGGACCTAAACCATCTTCACCATGCTCAAGATGGCACATGAGGCTACCAAATCGAGCTATAACACTACACCACTCCTTAACCCAATCTCTCACAATAAATTACTAAACATAGCAATGTCTAACTGTTGGCAGACTTGAAAATTTGTAAGTTTTTGAGCTGAATTTGATTTCCATTGCGATTTCTAAGCTAGTGAAAATATTAGCTAGTAATATCATTTTTCAACAGCAGGTATTTCATTGTCATCTACAAAGTTTGTACTTTAAACTTTATTTAAGTATCACATACATGTCCATAGCATTTTTGCTTAATAAAAATTGGTTTTAAACCCTAAGTGATATAACATGACTATCGAATCAACTTTTGTTTTGCATTCTAGTTGATCGTTTCGAGTTACAAAAATTGATCTACACACTTTATCACATGCATTAACACATAAACATGATGCTCATGACATATTTTAGTAAATGATTTACGGTGTAACACCGAGGGTGTTACAAATCTACCCCCTTAAATAAAATATCATCCCGAGATTTCATATGCCTAGTGTGGGAAAAGAGATAAGAAATAAATTCTAATTTAAACCGAGAGTGTTACAGTCATCTCGATAAATCTCATTAGTTCTCTAATTGCGTGGTCATTATCACTAAAACCCACAATTAGGGCTTGATTGCACTTTCAGTGACGTTAGGGTTCCAACGGGCAGTGGCGCCGCCCTTTCTCTCTTAACTCTCCCTCTCTTCTTCCCTAACTCCGGTGGGCTTAGAAGAGAAGGGCTCGAGAGAGACAGGCCGGCCAGGTAGTGGGTACAGCGGGAGGGCGGCTTAGGGTCCTAGCGACGGCGGAGGCGGCCGGGCCAGGTCGGGGTGAGGGTGAGGGCATCCATGGCTGGAGCTCGCTGTGGGAAGAGGGGGAGGGGAAGAAGGCGGCCTCCACGGGCGTGCTAGGGTTTGGTCGTCGAAACCCTAGCACGGCCGTAGCAGGGCGGTGGGCGGCGGTGAGGGCGAGGACGAGGAGGAGGGCGGAGGAAGAAGAGGGATGGGAGAAGGTTGAAGATGACTCCTGAGCCGTAGGATTAGGATCCAAAGGCTGTCATCGTCGCCTGATGGAAAAGCAAAACTGCAGTCACATGCAGCGGAGACACACCCTATAATAATCCGATTCACTATAAAAAAAGAGAACCCCACCAAATGCTTCAATTATTTTGAATCGCTGCTTTAGAACTTTAAACTAGCACAACGGGGATCAAGAATCAAAAAGTCTTGTGATAGAATAATTATAATTGAATCGCTTATAAGCGATCTCAAACACAACCAAAGGAGCATCTCCAGCATCACCTTGGTATATCTCCTCTAATAAACTGATAACAAGGTGTCCCAATATCTTTTTTGGATTATTAGAAAGATGCCGCATTAGATCATCAATAACCTCTTCCAATACATGAGATCTACAAGTTAGACCGCAATTTATTTATTTTCTCTTTTTTTGTTTCCTTTTCTATCCATGGCAATATCAGATTCAGATTTGCCTCAACCTCTGCCATGCCCAGCAGTAGCCCTGGCCACCGCTGCGCCTAGCTCCGGCAGCGGCCATTGATGTGCCTAGACCCGGCCTCAACCCCCCCCCCCGTGCCGGCCTCGACCTCTAGGAGTTGTCGTCGCAGAGCTCGAGGCAGGTTGGAGCCCTAGCCCGCCACCTTCTCCCCACTATCAGTGTTGCCCTACTAGAGACCACCCACTTGCATGGATCAGCCCCTCATGCATCGTTGTTCTCCAAGCAGGATGTGGTGGATGGTGGATGCAGGCGACACTACACAAAAAACTGAATGACGGATGCGAGCGATGATGCATAGACAATGAATGATGGGTGCGGGAGGCGCTCCCATGACTGCAACGGTGAACGACAATCAGTGTTGGTGAGGATAGGAGGTGTTATTGGGAATTGCCAGTTGCTCTAAGCCAAGTTAGCCAAGTTTGGTCCACTGTTTTTTAAGTTAAAGGATTACATTACTTCATAAACAAAGGATTACATTACTTCATAAACATATTATACAGATGGAGCCTAAATTTTCTTGTTTGGAAGGTTCGAAATACTTGCTCACACTGTATTGTGGAGGGTGTACATATGACTCATAAGAGTAGACACACAGACCGGTGCGGGCTACCAAAGAGACCCATAGTAAACTGCCTGGGGAGAATCATATGTAATTCATGCATCTGGTTGCTTTTTGAGGCACCAAACAACGCACATGGGTTGTTTTTTGAGGCACCAAACTTACATAGACTGTTGTTGTTTGAGCAGGCAAAATAACTACATTAAACTGACATCTTGCAAGAAATGTATTTACTCAAGCAAGACATCTAGAGTTACAACCAAACGTGCCTATTATGCTAGTTTATATATAATACTCCTTCTGCCCTGAAAATTGCAATCCTCGTTCTCTAAGGAGTCAAATATTTTTGAGTTTGACCAAAGTTATACGAAAAATACTAATAATTATGATACAAAATAAATATTATTAGATTAACTATGCAATATATTTTCGTAATAAACTAATTTGGAGATGTGAAATATTTTGATTTATTATAAACTTGGTCGGACTTGATATTTTGATGAGCACGGATAACATAATTGCATTCTATTATGGATAGAAATAGTACATGTGTTGTGCAAGTTATAACGAGCAGAGAGGCGTTCACCAACAACTACAACGTGTACATGACACGGTCCAGGAGCCCGGTGCGGGGTAGAAGCCATCGTCACAACAGACGAACTGTGTTTATATGCAGACAAAAGGAGAAAAGAAAAACTGTGCCTTCTGAGTGCTGCCCTATAACCACGGCACGGCAGGCGAGAGCAAATGGCAGCAGGCTGACTTTTTCCTGCTGCCGAACAAGCTGGATGATAGAAGACGGATTACCCCGCTCCCCACATGTATATGAAAAAAAGAATTTTTTTCAAAGAGCATGAACTTGAGCTAACGCTGCCCACGTGGTGCCTCTGCCCGCTCTGCCGTGGAAACTGGTACGCGCGGGTCGCGGCGCCGGCGCTGGACTCGCTGCCCTGGCCGTGCCCGTGCGGAGCCGAGCAGGGGCCGTCGGCGACAAGCCACACCACACGTCCACACCCCAGGCCACCCGCACCAACCCCGGCAGGAAAACGCAACGCGCCAACGCCCGTCCGGTAGCGGCTGCCAGGTGCGCCCCACCCGTCTGCCGCATTCGTTAGCCGGTCCCCTTCCCGCCTCCACCAGAGCCGCGTGAGCCTGACCACCCATCCCAAAACGCAAAAAAGCGAGGCTCATCACTTCCCTCGCCTCCTCTGCACTCCACACCGACACGCGACCCGCACTGCCTTTAAGTACACCCTCCCACCACCGCACCGGGCTACTAGCTCACCCAGCAGTACCCAGCCCAGACCAGCAGCTCAGCCGCGAGACAGCTAGTAGAGACCGACCGACAGGAGCAAGCCGGGCTCGCTCGCTCGCGATGGCGTCCGTCATCGTACAGGCGGTGGTGATCCTCCTGGACGTCATCGCCTTCGGCCTGGGCGTGGCCGCCGAGCAGCGCCGGAGCCGGGCCACCGTCACCCCGGACGCCGCCAAGGAGTACGACTACTGCGTCTACGACTCCGACATCGCCACGGGCTACGGCGTCGGCGCGCTGCTCCTCCTCGCCGCCGCGCAGGTCGTGCTCATGGTCGCCAGCCGCTGCTTCTGCTGCGGCCGCGGGCTCAAGCCGGGAGGCTCTCGCGCCTGCGCCCTCATCCTCTTCCTGTTCACATGGTAAAGAACCAAATCTCGTCCACCCCTCCCGCGATTGATTGCCTGCTACTACTTCCTCTTCGCATACATGGAAATAATTAACCAGCAGAGCTAGATTTGCTTGGTTGGGCGATCCCTTGCTAGCTCCTCTCTCCGAGGTCCAGACTCGGGTGGGTTGGATTCTGCTCTATCCCCGTCGCTCGTCTAGTTCTACTTCTACGAGCAGATTGGGATGGGATCTGCGTCGTGTACGCGTGGTTTCAGCTGCGGGTGCACGGCGCTAGCTAAGTGTTAGAAACGAAAGGCAAAATAAACGACGGAGAATAGCAGATCAAACACAGGGGACACGAGATTTTAATGTGGAAAACCCTCTCAAGGAAGAAGGGAAAAACTACGGGCACCAGCCAACAAATTAGGATTTATAACTTTTCTTATCCCAAGACGACTCGGATTACAGGAAGTATATATAGAGATGGAAAAACCCTAATATGCGACGATCCAAATTCAGACTCCGCTTCGCTTCGGCCCAAGCCTCTCGGCGACGGGCCTCGCTTCGCTCCGTCAGAAGTTAGCCTTTATCTTGTACATAACTGAATTTGGATCACAACTCAACACTAAGATCCGTTTTCCGCCGGCTGGTGTTGGCCTGGATCTTGTGCTTTCCAACTCAACCTTGTGATGCACAGGTTCCACAGCTTAATTTCTAGGCCTAGGCAGGAAAGGATGACAGAATGTTATGCACCATCTATCCATGTGGTGAACTGACTACTAGTTCGCCGTTGTTGCCTCTGACATGGACAACGATGCGCATGCTTTTTTTTTACTTTTTTTTTATTTTCAATCTTAGGTGAACTGTCGCTTGTTTTAGTGGCAAAATGTCACTTTCTTGTCTTAAAATGCAAGCGTCTCACCCAGTGCTTTACTCTGTTGCTTTTGGCGAACGAGTGGTGAGATCCATCGATTAGTAATAATACTAGTACTTCTCTAGTAGCCAGATGCAAATCATTTCTCCCACCTTCTCCAGTTAGCCCCTTGCTGGCATGAGGCTTTTGCTTTCATTACTGAAGCTGCACTTGCACAGCAATGCTCAGTATTTAGCACCTCAGAGTTGATATAACAGAGGCAGAAGTGTAGTATTGCCGTTGCTGTATTGTTTAAGCTCTGTAGCCTCATGCTGTCATGCAAGCTAACATCTGCTTTACATACAGTTTACTACCATGTTTCAAATATTTCAAGCCACATGCCCCCTGAATAATAATTTGACTAATTCTTGGTAGGAGGCAGTTAGTAGCACAGATCATAGATCTCTGAACTGTCCCAGACATTTATCTTCATAGATCTGCTAGATTTCTAGTATGTTTGATTGTAGATGTCCAACTACTCCCATTGTCCTTTTTTTTAAAAAAAAGGAAAGGTGCACTCCCATTATCCTTGTAACACAAATTGGCAATCGCTTGGCACTGGTACTTTTATGGGATTTAGTGTTTAGCAGACTTTATATTTCTGTGATATGATGGGGAGATGTTGAAAGCCCTTTCCATCACAAGTAAGTGTTGTTTTAGATGATCAGTGATATCCTGACAACTTTCACAATAGTACAGTCTGCAAGATTAACATTGCACAATAATTCGAGATAAGTCTATCTATATATAAACTCTCAATATCCACAAAGATACACGTAGCCAGATTTCTTCAAAATTTGAATGCACGCTATCGAAATGTTGTTGGTTATACTTTACTGGAGGAACTAGCAACTACTACATCTTTATTTGTTCTGGGTACCTTAGCTAATCGGTTGGTCAAGGACTTGCAATGAAGTAATTAATGAAACCATTTTTGGTACCTCGATATATCCACATCTATGCTTTGATATTTGTTTACAGTTTTACACGAATTGACTTATGTTAAGTTTTTTCTGATGAACTGTTAAACCACATTATTTTTTTATAGTCTGTCATTGATTTGTTTATCTGTTTCTCTTGAGATCACCATGTGACAGTGACATTTCCTAAGCAATTCCTAAGTCAACATTAAATTAATAGCCTTGCTTTCTGGGTGTCCTTGACTAGCCAGCCTTCTGGAGGAAGCATCTGCCATAATCTATTCGCAAAAGCCACAGTAAAATTTCATTTGGAATCACTTGAGTTGTCTGTCCGTCTCTGGATCCTGCTTGCTTGCTTTCCTTCCTCAATTCATATAATAAAGCCTGAACTAGGAACTGCCGACTGTCGTGGCCAGCTTCAAGCTGTTATGACATGAACATATATTTTGTTTTTTGACTACCTACAGATTGCAGATATACTATATTTTCTGACACATTTGGAATATGTCCAACTGATTTGGGTACCCAAAACATCAAGCCAGCACATCTAAAAATAAAAGTTGATTATTCAAGTAATATCAACTGCACTTCCCATCCAAATGTTTACCAATAACATGTCTCATTCCCATTGACAGGGTGACCTTCCTCATCGCGGAGGCATGCCTGCTGGCAGGATCAGTACGCAACGCGTACCACACCCGGTACAGGGGCATATTCTATGGCGATTCCCTCTCATGTGAGACGGTGCGAAAGGGCGTCTTCGCTGCTGGTGCGGCCTTCACCTTCTTCACGGCCATCTTGGGCGAGGTGTACTACCTCAGCTACTCGAAGTCCCGAGATGCCGCTGGTGGTGCCCCCTACGGCGGCTCCAGCATTGGCATGGGCCCATACAACTAAAGGAGCTTGCTCAAGGCAGGCCCCAGTCTTTTCAACTCGCTTCATGGTGGAGGAATGCAGTGTTCTTTTTAACATTACCTTAGTAGGGACGGTGTAATTGGTTATTGGATCCGCTGTTTTTTCTTTAGGTTCTTGTATGAGGTTACTTGGTTGGGCTGTATACTGTTTGGATTATTGGGTTGGATTCTGGACATGGAATACACGTATCCTAGTATGCTATGCTGTTCATATGTATGCACGTCTTTCTCATGTTTGTCTGATGTTTTCCCTCGTTTCGTCCTGGTCTCGTCATTCACCATGTACTGATGGTGGTCATGTCTCGGCATTCGCCATTTACTGATGGCGGTCATGTCATTTTTTGAAATAGCACTAGGCCACTAATAATACAGAAACTACAATAGTTTCTACGGTCATTTATTATGTTGCCACGTCAGCATTTTGATGACGTGGAAAGCAAGTCAACGATGAAAGAGAAGGAAACCGTTTCTTATTTAGAACAGTAATGCTCTGAACCGGTCGTCCGTTCTGATGGTCCGTTGTTGGGCCACGACGCCAGCCCAACCACCCACGCTCCTTCGATTCTCAAAAGAAAAACTGTCCATCCACTTATTCCTATCCACTCGTTCATCTTCCTATCGCTCTTATCTGCTCGCCTGTCGCCTCTGAGCGCACGACCACTCGCCCTTCTAGGCGCAGCGCGTGGCCGCTGGCCTTGTCAGGCATAGCGCGCGACCGCCTCCGAGTCGCGACGCTCGACTGCCAGCCCGACTAGGCGCGGCGTGCTGTTGCCCTCTCCAAGTCGCGTGGCCCGACCTCCTCGCCGCTCGTGCGGCCGATGCCTCCTTTCCATGACGTGCAACCACACTACTATACTCGCACCTTTCGCAGCCGCGTCGTAACCCACATCGCAGTCCAATTTTGGCCTCAACGGTAAGCTATCGACAGTGATGGTCATAGTCTTCACCGTCGGCTTTTGGGACTGACTGCGGTGTACACTAGCACCGCTGATTGGCTTATGATCCATCCGTAATTAGGTATTTACTTCCGTCGCATTGGAGCACGACTCGTCTGTGGATGTACACTAACACCGCCGCATTGGCAAATGATCCGCTTATGTCGAGGCTATCAAAACCGTCGTGTGGGCACATCAACCGCCTGTGTAGTGGTCACCCGCACCGTCGCCTTGTACTTCGACCCGACTATCAGCGGTGCGGGTTCACTGTCAGTTCGATGGCCAAGACGCTTGTGTAGAGGTTAACACCACCGTTGCTTCAGCGTATGATCCGCCAGTACAAAGGTCATGGTCACCGTCGCCTTGCACCACGATCTGCCTTTGATGATCATTTAGTCAGTGTCAGGTTACTAAAGGATTCGACGGTGATATACTTTTGATCCCTGTTGCATCATACGTATAGCGACGGTGATAGAATTTCATCCGGTTTCACAATAGTTACTAATTCAGCAAGGCCCTTAATAGCTTCATGAACACAAAGCATACAAATATATAATCATTACATTCATAAATCATGTTAACAAACAAGAGTACTTTTTACAATAACAATGGACGCTACCATAACATCTTTCTCAACTGATGTCCTAACACAAGAGGTACATAGAGTATACTAAAGGTACTGATGTATACAGACTTACATAACGAAACGACGTAGCTATGCTCCTTCTATGTGGCACTCCTGCTTGTAAGGCAAAATGAATATAATTAGTGCATCCTTCGGATTGGTAGCCAATGCACCATGGAACACCTCTTATTCATCTATGATCCACAACCTGAACAAAGCAGCAGAATTAATAATATTGAACATACCACTCCTTTAGTTAACTAGCCAAAATTGGCCTACATACATAGAATAAAAACAACTGCCTATCTGAACAAAGACTGTCATGATGACGAAATGCAGGAAATGCACCTTTACTGCTCTTCTAATGACTCCATGAATAAGGGAACATAAGGAAGATAGTAAGGCCTGTTCATATAGAAACGCCCTCTTGATCTACAAAAGCGGATGACACGGGCATGGATGACATGAACCTTTCTACGGTCCATGTCATATGCAATCAATATTATATCCTTCCCAACAAGGAAAATAAAAATCTATTCTGGGTGAACTGTAATCACTCTATACTCCTCGTCACAAAGCTTAGAACCAACTTTAATATTCATGCGTCCAAACAGTTCCTCGTGTCCACAACATGCTTCAAACTCTAGTTATCAATACCATAGTCTTCAAGTATCCACACTAAAAGCCAAGACCTATTGCGAAAATCAGCACAACACACACAGAGTGACCCTGAGCTTGATGGATGGACATTTCAGCACCACCTAGTTTATGAATTGTCCTCCATGTCTTTCCCTCCATATCCACAGCAACTATCGCAGAGTACTCAAGCATGTGCATAAAACCATTAAGAAAAACACTTCTCGATTTTGAACGTAGAACAATACTACCCTCACCCCATTTAGATTCCTTAAAGATCCATGCTGCAATTTTAGATGAGTAGCTCTCCACACCTATGCACGCACCCTCCACCTCAACAAATTCAATCACATGGAAGTGCGAGGACGTTGGGTCAAAACCTAAGTGAGCCTAACCAATAGAACGGATGCTACGTGGCAGTACATGCCATTTGTCGGTCACCGAATTGCAGACAACATAGCGACGTAATCGATCAGGCCCTGCACACCAGCAAAGGACAAGGCCGCTGCAACAATCTGAGACTAGGATTTTTTAAGGGGGAAGGGCAAGAAGGACAAGGAGCCGTTCACCGATGATGCTGGTGAAGTGGCGATTGCCCTTCCACTAGCTGCCATAGAAGAAGCCGATGACAGTTTGTGAAAGCTTCTTACATTGATAGGAGTCAGAAATGACGCACCTCCAGGAGCGACAGACACACTTGCAGCAGCACAAGGACCGGGCGGGGAGGTAGTAGAAGATGTCGGCAAGCATATCGTCTGAGAGGTTGTCCATTGCGTTCCTCATGTTGTGGGGGCCTCCTTCATCTGGAAGGACACCACCAGCCAAAGAGATGAGGCTGCCCTGCCGTGGAATTGCATCAATAAACATTAGTAAGGAGATGAGTTTCGAGGAGAAGGAACGGCGATGCAAGTAAGGCCTTATTACACTTGCCTTTGGATCTGGCGGCGGTGAGCATGAGTGGCAACGCCGGTGACAACAGCAGCTTGTTCACTGGTGGATCTGTGCGGGCAATCCGGCGATGTGCACCAGTGCGGAGCAAGGGCTGAGCAGTGCTGATGAGCAGGAGCGGCGATGATGAACAACAGCAATGAGGAAAAGAAAAGCTATGTGTGTGTGGGGAGGGAGGACGACAACAGGGTGGGAGGGTGTAGGGGGGAGGGGTTGGGTTAAGGGGGGATGTTGGAGTAGGTTGCTTGCTCTCTGCGTATCTTTTACGGCACACGGGAATCGAACTTTCATCAGTTCCACACAGGAGGGTTCAAACGCGGGATTGGAAATTTTGCAACTAAGCGGCGGTGAATGCACAGTACCATCACCGGTGACTAGGTCCTATTACCACCTGGAGACCTCTGTAGATATGATGATGAACACTAAGGCACACAATCCCACACTTAGAAAACTAAGAAAAGCACAATTCCAGTACTCAGATTGAAAGGATGCCAACTTGAGTTCGATGGTGAATAATAAGGCACATAGATTTACATTGAGACGAAGGCCAAAACACACACTTAGAAAACATAAGGAAAGCACAATGCCAGTACTCTCAGATTGAAAAGAATCTAACCTGAGTTCCATACATTCATACTGAATAAGTAGGTGGACACTACCAAGCTAACAAGCATGCCGAAAGCTAAAATGCAGATACTAATTAGGCTGACACTATGCAAAAGTTAAAAGACCTTCATAAGTACATCATTGGTTGCATAATTAATCATTCTCCATGCAGATCCTAGTCGACCTCCATGGCATCGTTGTCAATCTCCATAATATCCTACAGATCGTTGTCGACCTCCACGGGATCATTGTCAATCTCCATGTCATCCCGAGCCTTGACTAGTACAACCCTGTCCCCATCCATTGGTACACTTTCATTTAGCTCATCGACTTTGTTCACAAAGCACTGATTCGGTGAACCAATACTGAGGACAATAAGGCTCACAAGCTGCACTCCACAGATATACATGGCCACAAACTCCAGAACAAGAAGATGCATTTTCAACTGTAGATCCAACAAAGTTACTGTAGCTAGGTTGAAGGTGAAGGAGAAGAGAGCACGAGAGAGCAATACAAAGGAATATAGAATCCAGTGAAGGAGTAGATCCAGTGCAGTTGCCTTAGATCTGGATAGAGCAGAGAAATAGGGACGACGCGCTAAAGATTTGTGTGCCAGCGAGGTTGAAGGTGAAGGAGCAGTGAGCACACGAGAGGCTGCCTTTCGTCCGATGCTAGCAGGGTGAAGCAGAGCAAGGGAGCAGAGTGGGGAATGGATGAGAGGAAGGTTTGGTAGGACTGTAGGAGTGTATATACAGTTCAATAAATTGGTTGCCCCTATACCAGGGCCCAGTGTCTAGGGAAGTAGGATGCCTCCAACACATCAATTGATACTTGGATCTACTATCATTTATAGTTCAATAAATTGAACACCTGGTTAATCACCTTGCATTTAGTTCAACAATAGTTGTACAATAGTGATAGATTTTAGTTCGACACATCAATTGATAATTGGATTTACTAGCATTTACATTTCAATAAATTGAACACCTGGATAATCACCTTGCATTTAGTTTAACAATAGTTGTACAAAAGTGACAGATTTTAGTCCAATACATCATAAATTGATACTTGAATCTACTGCGGTGAACTAAGCAACTTGCCAATGATCATGCCAAGAACTAAGGTAAGTACAAAATAGGTGAAAGAAGAACAGGAAGCATATTTCTTTCTCAAAGGTATGAAATCTTCCATCATCTTCGTTGGAACTCTGGCCATTTCTTTAATCTGTGGCAT